AAAAAAAAACACACACAAAAAGGTATCTCATTTTTTTTAAAAAAACATAAGTTGAGCCCATAGCCTACAAGAAGCTAATGAAGTGGTAGGCTTCCGCGGCCAGAGTCCAGATCACGCACAAGAGGCTAATGAAGCATTGCCGTTTCTCTGCATCGACGTTCCAGTCGCCCTGTGGAAGTGTCTACCCTCGAAATGATGGTTTGAAGTGATCGACGAATTGAAGTGCAGGAAATAATTGTGGCCACGGGCATATCGCAAGGCACAGTCACTTCAATTTTGCGCGAAAAATTGGGTGTGAAAAAAAATCTTGGCAAGACAGGTGCCGCGTTTGCTGACAGTAAAGAATAAACGCAGTCGTGTGGTCGACTCTTGAGGCTGTTTTGGCGCTTTTCCGTCGCGATTCTGACGATTTTCTGCGTCGATACATCACTGTTGATGAAACACTGATACATAACTACACTCCAGAGACAAAAGAATAATCAAAACAGAGGGTTTTTTAAGGCGAACAGGCTTCGAAGAAGGCGAAGACTGTCATCCGCCGGCACGGTCTTTTGGGATGTTCACGAAATTATCTACATTGATTACTTGGAAAAGGGAAAACGATAATAGGTGAGTATTTTGCGCCATTATTGAACCGACACAGCGGAAAAATCAACGAAAAACGCCCTTATCTGACAAGGAAAAAGATCCTCTTTAATCAAGTTGTGTGCACTCCTGCGCAGTTGGGTTGGCCAAAATTATGGAAGTAAGTTCCAATTATTACAACATACACCGTATTCAGCTGGCTTGGCCCTCAGTGACTTTTCTCATTCCCCAACCTGAAGAAATGACTTGGCGGACAAAGGTTTATGTCTAATGAGGAAGTCATTGCCTAAACACGTGTTTATTATGAGCAGCTTCTGCAATACTACTTTTTGGACGACTTAAAAAATTTGGAAAAACGCTTAGAAAAATGTATAGAGCTGAAAGAAGTTTTTGTTGAAACTTAAAAACAAATCTACTCCGAAAAAGCGTTTCTGAACTTTTTTCTAAGGACTTATTGAACGACCTTGGCAGCTCTGGTCCCACAAGCATAGCAAAGCACAATCGACTATGATGGCAGTTTTTCTCCACCTGCAGTATAAGTTTATATTATCGAACGCCAGTTGTAGCAGTTGCGCAGGATGTGCGCATGCGCAGACCCTATAATAAACGACGCAGGCACAAATTTCACGAACACAATCAAGCATATTTAAAATCATTGGCTGTGTGTCTTTTCCTCTCATACACAAAAGTTTGATGGCTGCCGGCGTTACAGTTTTCAAATATATGAGACATTGTTTTATAGAGTATCGTGTAATCTGGTAGTTTATGACTTAAAATGGCGTAATTAACGTAAAATAGTTGTTTAAAAATGATTTTTATGATTAATAAAATTTCTTATAAATAATTAATTTCGCCAATAATTGGAAATAATTGCTAGCTCGAATTCTACATCGACAATCAGTTGTTTGAACGTGAGAACTTTTTCCCCTGTATTTTTTCTGGAATTGAAATTCCCTGTGTTTTTCAGAAAGTGGTCACCCTGAAGTGAACCAGCACTATTCTTACTGAATTGTAACGAGGAGCTGTATAAGTTGAATTCTGACGTCCCAGTCGCTGTGCCATGTGATTTCCGGGAGGCAGCCTCAAGAGGCAAGGACGTGGGGTAGTGAGGATACCGAAACGAGTTTCCCGCAGCCCGTCGATGTCTCAAGGTCATCTGACACATATATCCAACAGTTCATCGCCTTCTCGCCTCGGGACACTCAGCCCCCTCAAACACGGCCTCAGGGTCGGGGAGTGGATCTATTCTATATATAAATTACAAACATTTTCTTCACTTGCTTGCCCCTTATTAAAAAATAAATAAATAAAAAACAACTAATGTTTAAGAAATTAATCAAAAAATGTTTAAGCTATTAATGTTGAGCTGTATTTTTAATATTTAATGAAATTTCACTGTTCATCTTAATATAATATGCGGACTGATTTTTTCAAGAAATATGGAAAATATATAGACTTCCATTGAAAAAATGTACCCAAATCCAAAATATGGAAAATAAAAGTAGCATTTTTCAACTAAAAACATTGTGAAACATGAAGATAATAAGGAAACAAAATAGGATAAATATTAGCTTTTTTAGTAAATATGTATTTACCCAGAAATCCATTTCCTGGTGATGAATATTATCACATGCAGAAACAATTTGCATTTGAATTTAACATTTTTGATCAACTGTGACTTTCTAAAATTGTTGTCGAATTAACATTAGTTCCTTGGGGGTACTGAGAAATAAAAACATTACTTCAGAAAAATATTTCTGAATACTACATGAAATTATATCAAAATGAATCTTGAATTATTTTCTTCAGAAACCACAAAACATTGGAAACCAAACTTCTAATAATATAGTGATCTTTAGTCAGTGAGCATTTCTACAGTTGCGGCGGATTTTGTAGTAGTGTTTCTGCCGCACACTCAATCATTCATTGCATGGCTGCAACTAGGAGAGGTAATGGTTTTATCCAAATGCCAATGGTTGCAGTAATTACAACCCCACCAAATAGCCCCTCATGCTGGGGGTAACAGACTTCACCCACATGAAAATTCAGTCCCACAGAATGTACAACTCAAAGCACAAATCTGGCTGTTTTTCCTTTTTAACCTATTTAAAAAATTAATAAAATGTATACTTCTCTATTGTACTATTTTACAATACTTTATAAAAAGTAGTTTTATGTTTACATGGTTTAATGTGTTTGCATAGCCATTTGAAGATACGGCACATTGTTGCTTGTTGGACAACCAAGACCAACATACATACAACAATGCTCAAAGACTAAGTTTCAAACAATTATTTGAGTGAAGCCATGGGAAAACCATACTTTTAGGTGATTGGTAACAGTCAAATATTAATGACAGAGGAAGGATCTAATTCATAGAGTCCCAAAGTGGAGAGGGTGCCTCCCAAACAGAGGTGCAGACACAAGTCAAGGGGTTGACGCTGAGGGTAAAGATGGATAGCATTGAATATATTACTCAATCATGTAAAAAAGTGCTTAACGCATTATACGAGCTATAACTTCTAATTGCAACGCAAAAAGAAAGTCATCTGTATTATTGGAGACATGCTTGTTAAACCATATCTGTTGAAGATAGCTGATGTTCTTGGAATACATAGTAAAAACCAACGATCACAAATATTACTCACTAACAGCACTGTGATATACCGCATTGATGATATGGTTGAAAACGCAAAAAAACAAGTAGTTGTTAGAATTAAACAATCAACATTTTTGCAATATGGCTGGATGAGAATACAGAAATTGTTCTCATTTAACAGTTCATGTTTGATATATTCATAAAAGAAGAGTGAAAGAAGAGGTTTATTTTCTACAGAGTTGGCTACAACTACTAAAATTGGTTGATACATGCACAGATGGCACTCTTTCGAGCGTTGGTGTATGCACAGTGCTCGCTCAGGCTTTGTGCAATTGCTAAAAGAGAAAAATACTGCTGTTACTGCGATTCAATGTTTGATGCACCGAGAACCCTTTCTTTCAAACGTACTCCATGATGACTTAAAATTATGTATTAAATTGGTTAATTACAAAAAAAGTGCTTTAAACACTCAACTTTTTAAATCTCGAATATAGCGAATATTTAGGTACAGATCACAAAACAGTTATTTCAACACAAGTAGTCTGGCTCTCCAAAGAAAATATGTAGGCAAGGTTCCTTGAACTATAAGATGAAGTAATTACCCTTTTCTTTCATTTTTATATATCTATAATTTTAGAAAGGCAGTTTTTATTAACATTTAAATCACTTCAGGTTTTGGAGGTCATTGTGGCCAGGTAAAATAAATTCATTTGATTTAAATGTTAATAAAAATTGTCAAAAATTATAGAGGCATATAAATGAAAGAAAAATAACAATAGACAAGCTGATACCAAATTAAAAAAACAACTAAACTATATCACCTTTTGGACAAATCAAAAACAAAACGAATTTATGAAAAACCTAGAGCTTAAATAACGTTGGCTTATTTGTCTGATTTTTTTGACTTGTTGACCAACCTTAATCTAAAATTGCAGAGTGGAGAGTCAAGTACCATTATGATACCATCAAGACATATTGGAAAGCTGCAACTTAGGAGACTTTAGATATTGGCATATCCTGCAGTTATTTTACCAAACTAATTTCAGTCCAGGAAGAAATATGTTTGGAGGTTTTTGAAGAAGCATATATAAAAAACTAAACATCAAACTATTTGGAGCACATCACTGAAGAATTCAACAGATACTTTGCCGACATTTGTAATGATTATATTTACATATTAACAATTGATTTTTTCAGTTAATAATACAAGTTGTAAATGAAATTACACAAGGGACAAAATCAGTGAGAAGGATGAGCTTGCATTTTTTATCAGATTACATATCTTTGGTTGAGTATAAGAAAACACACAAAATTAATCATTAGCAACGTAAAGTTTGTCCCGCATCTTTGTTTTAATTGTAACAAGTGCTAAAAATGCTTTCTCGCACAAATAGGGGCTTGAAAAAGAAACAATTGCAGTGTTCGCGGAGACATGACTGGGGCACTCTTTTTTGTAATTCTTAATCCAAAACGATGATTTGTTCATTGTATCAAAATCATACTTGGCAGCAGAATAATGTTCTATTTCTAAAGCTTATTCTTGAAGTGCTTTGGTAGGGAGTCCAGGAGTTAATTAGGGAATAAACAATATAACGTTTTGACCTAACCTAACAAAATTTTAAAACCAAATATTTCTGCATAAGGTCAAAAAACCATAATTAACTTGCAATATCATAAAGAATAAAAACAATTGATTATTTTATTATTCAATACATTTGTTTTATTCATTACCAAATAAAAGTGTATAAGGAGGTGTGGAAGTTTTCTTCATTTTCTTCACAGACAGGGGCTTATTAAATAAATGTTTTTAAACCCGTGATCTAATTGGTTAATCATGGGTTTGAGTGGCCCCTCAGTCATGACCTCCTTTACTCGGGTGGTGAATAATATACACCACTTATGCCCAAGATTTAAAAACATATTTTACAAAAAATTCTCTTGCTTTAAAAGTATTATTGCTACTGTAACTTCTATTATATTACTACTTTAATAATACTATATTAGGGGCTGCCACCCCAAAACCTCTACTATACCATAACATTATAGAGGAATTAGTCTAAAAAAGGGCCACTTTCACAGGTCCGGAAGCAAATGTTGAAAATCAGATTTCAAAGTTTTAGAGACAAACATAACATCAGTTAATTTTTTATTTTTTATTTCGGCATTTACATGTCAATGCTTTCATTTTTGCTGCATGGATTTCCTCCTCTCTTCTTAACTTCAAATTCCTTTCTTCAATTTCCCACTGAAGTTTTCTTTCCCTGATATTTAATTCATCCTCACGGTCTTGCAATGCCCATTTAAATTTTAAATCCTGTAGTTTCTTATCCTGCTCCTGTAGTTTGCTCCTCATTACATAGTATCTTCTCTTGAAATAGGTAAGTTCTTCACAATTCTGCGCCAGCATGTCAACTTTGTGTCTATGTCGACGAATTTGTGCTCTTGAACTGGGTAAAGGGCGAGGGGGCGGACACTGTGATCGGGTCGATGTGGAACGAACGGGTGCGGTGGTGGGCGAGGAGGAAGGGGCCCCAGAGGTGGCGACTGGGAGGGACGGAGGGAAGGTAGGGGTTGGAGGAGAGCAGAGAGGGGCGGCGGCAGCAACATTCGGAGAAAGAGGGGGGAACTGGGAAAGCTCTGGTGGTAGAGGCATCAAATCAACTGTGAAACTCTCGCAGACAGGCTTCCCAGGCAGATCTGTGTTGTTCTCCGAAAAATTTCCTTGGTCTCCTTGCACATCGTTCCTCGAACTCTCCTCTTGAGCTGTGAGGTTGGAATCTGCAATTCGTTTGTTTTCGTAACATTATTTTTTAAATAAAAAAGGAAAAATTTACAAATGATTTAATTTGTAGCTTTTAACTTTAATGTGAAGAGCCAAAGCAAGAATATGTAATCAGGGCTCTTTTATTATCTCAATTATTCCAGTGGTACATAAACCAAAATGAGCGTATTATGAAAATGCTATAAATAATTGGAATGTGAATTACTCTTTAATTTGTTTTCAAAAATGCACTTTCACATTTTTCCTCTGAATAATCCGTTTCAGAATTATCATTTTTGCTCAAGTTTTATTTTACTTATGAAACTCATGTCACGAGAATCTTAGAATAATTGAGACTAACATATCACATTTACAAATCTAACTGCAAGCAGAAGCTTGTTTTATTACTCAATTTATTCTGACTTACTTTGATCTTCATCACTTGGAATGTGGCAGCCCACATCAGTGGCCTTCAGAAACTTCAACACTCGTTCTACCCACCAAGGTTTGCCAGTCATCAATGCACCACCACCATCACCACTACCGCCGCTATCTGGGCAATTGCGTTTCTCAACGGAAGCCCATTTTCTGGCCACTTTTTTCATGCTCGACCATTTGTCTGCAATCTGAAATGTACATTTTTCAATCCATAATCCGTTTGACCTGACTAACATGGAAGAAAATAACATTTAAATTATTTTGAACAATGAACATGTGATCATAATCTTTTCTTGTGAAAATAACACATACTGAGTATTGTCAAAGTAGAAATTCCAAGAATAGCACCTCCCTGGAACTTCAGTAGTGTAATAGTTATTAAAAAAACAAGACTGATATTATCATCATACTAACTTGACTAATGCCTCGTGGTGCAAAAGTGATGACAGTATTATACATTATTATCAAGAGGTGTATCATCAATGATTACAAAATCATTTTTAATTTTTTTTACTATTTATTTATGAGGTAAAACATTACTAGCTCACAGTCATATGTTGCTAATTGCAACTTTCTTTTCTCTTCAAAAATTACTATTATACAGTCCTTTTGTAACTTGTGCTATAATAAATCCATTACACCACCTTGCCCTGATAGAGCTTCAGTGCACCCACATAAGTGATGTCATGGATTAAATGTTTATGAAAACTATAAATTTAAAAATATATTTTTTTAAAGTTTTTTATTCACATTACTTACTATTTTCGCTGATCTCGCAAACTGAGGTACCTTAGAAGTCATTGCAATTTCTATTTCCTCCCACTGTTTAATCTTCACTTTCATACTCGCCACATCAGTTTTTTTACACTTCAAAAAGTCTCTTCTCGGCTCCACCTCTTCCAACAGAGCTTTCATTTCAACATCTGTCCAATTTGCAGACCTGTTCCTACAGAAAATTATCTCATGCTTAAATGTGTAAGGAATATTCATGATTTTGGTACATTCATGATTAATTGTGAAAAAATATACTTATACGAACCTTTTTTCCATAGATTCCATCACACCACCAACACTTTTGGCACATGGAAAAGAAAGACACAATTGTATTTGCAGGATTTAATGTTAGAGGTACAGATCATACAAATGAAGGTGTGAATAATTTAGTGAACTTGGTCAAAGACAATGAACAAACCAATTTTTATTTATTGGACTTCCTCGTAGAGAGTAAAATGGTCTTGTGTGAACAAAGAAGTTAAAAGGGTTTAACAGAAAGAGGAGAAGTTTTCACTCAGTTTATGAACAGCCAGAAGGGATTTTTGGTGGATTCACGTGCTCCTGGAAATTCTGAACTGACAGTAGCAACAATCAAGGCACTTTGGCCAAAAATAGTTTTATAAGCAATTAATGCTTCACATATTATTGAGGATTAATTTATCTTATTCTCTGGCTGTTTTTTCTCCTTAAAAAAATGAATAGAAACAACAAATTTTAGGTGTTTCTATTCACCGCATCGGTGTTTGTTCTTTTTAATAAAGCTTTCAATAAGCTAATTTAAGAAATTATTTTGTAGACAAAGTCAAGAACATATCAATAATCTAATTGTAAGATAAAAAAAATACATCACCCTTCTCATGTCTTCAAAATAGAATTGTAATTAGTAATCATACATCCACCTCATTTTAGAGTAGTATCAGGACCTTTCTCAAATCAACAAAAGGATGTGATCAGTGCTGGAGATAGAAAATTTTAGGCCTAAGGCAATGCTGAACCATAGTCAAAAGATCATATGGTGTGACAGAATTAGTCTATTATAACATTACAATTTGTATTAGAACATCAAACAGAAACAGATATACTTTTGGAGAATTTATTCATTTACTAAAATTAACCATTTTGTATGATAAATCTAACAGGAAACTCAGATAAATCATTAAATTATGAAAGAAAGAATGCAAATTTAAAACTTACAATTGTTACACACAAAATTACAGCATAGAAATTACACAAATTTCTCCTATACCCACATCCGCGACCGTTTTTTACATTCCAAGACAGTCCACCTTTAATGAAGGGGCTCGGAAGAATTATTTCACGATTCTAGCAGTCTAGCAGTTCTTCTAAAACTATCTTTATTCCTTCATTTCATTACAACTCTTCGGTATCGCCGTAACACTATTTCCTGTATCTGGTAGGGTCTGTACCTCTAAATCAGAACATTTTGCTTCTTAACTCAATCACCGATTCTCAATTTATATTTTCTTTTATCCAATCGTCTTCCGATCCCAGAGCCCTACCTACTGCCGATGTCTGCACCCTTCCTCCATTTTCAACTCAGTTTTCTACAATAGCATTCATCTGTTGGGTTTCCCTTTCATTCTCCTCCTTGGTTTCCTTATAATATTGTGACACGCTCTCCCACCCTATGCTGCATGTTAGATTTTCAGGCATATTTTTTTTTTTTTCTTTTCCCACATTGCTTCTTTCTTCCTTGCCTATTGTGTTCACCTCGGTTTCTTTTCTATACCCCCATACTTGCTGTCGTCCATATTTATAATTACGTAAATTTATTGTGATAACACAGAGTAACAAATTTGAACTTTGTGTCTTGCCGCGAAATAAAGGAATAGTATGTGTATACTAAATCACATACGCTGATTGCGAAAATCAAATCAGAAATGTTCCATTACGTACCAATTTTTCTGAAAAATATCCTCCTCATATACCATTTCCGAGATACTTGGAAACGTTTCAGTAACAATGCAAGAGGATATCTGTATTACTCCCGCAACTTTTCTTGAACGATAGATTGACGAATTCGGGTAGAGTGGGGGTATTAGTTACAAAGTCGGCCACTAGAGTATATTACGTAAGCCAACGTCTGTGAAATGGAAGTCACTCCTGCATCTTGTCGCAGGGACACTAGATGAGTTAAAATGTATTTAAGCAGTCAGCTTAGGTAGATATTCGCTAATTTTGACAAGCATTTTTGTCGAAATCACCCAGAACTCACCACGTGGAGGTGTCTACACATCGCGTTCCCCACTTGCCCTTCCAATCACCCTACCTTTTGAGAGCAAGTTAGTCATAATCGATGTTTTTAATGTCAAGACCGGGTTTGGTGTCGTAATCGGATTAATCAGAACATAGAAATTTTTCTGATGAATGTGAATCTTCACTCTCATCACTGGACCGTGAAGAGCTTTTGCCTTCAACTGTTTATTGCACAAGGGAGGGGGATCAAGGTACTCGTTCAAGAAAAAGTGCGCGGGTAATATTTGATTAATATATAGATCAAGTAACAAAAATAGTTTCTAATGCAAAAATTGTTTGTATTATTTTTTTGTATAGTTAGGTGTTTATATTACAAAATATAAAACGAAAACAGTACGAGAACACTGAATAAAGCTTGAATGGTCCTTACAAGTTGGAAATTATTTCTGAAAACTTTCCGTTTGTAGGGAGATGGTGAAACTTATTGTAGAAGTGTCCATCAGTAATTCGCCACAAGATTTGGTGACCATCTCTTATATCGACTTTCCATCACCGATATCTAGATAAAATCGCTCACCATGCTCGTCACATCTCCAAGATTAGGTGGGAAGAAATCAAAATGGGATTTAAGGAAATGTAATTTTAGATATATGCTGCACCCTATAGCCTTGTAACATTTCAGCATGTGTTCCTTCTAATCTTTGTAATTCTCATATATAACGTTTCCAAAGAAATTGTCACATACATCTTTCAATGCGATGTGCCTTTTCAGTATCCTTCAGCAACTGTTCAAAGCTATGATCTTTCATCAGGTCACGGATCTGAGGCCCAATGTAACTTCTTTCTTTAATGTTTGCAGTATTAATAGCAGGAAATATAGATAGTAAAAATGTATAACCCGGCCCATCTTTCTCCATTGCTTTTACAAAATTCTTCATGAAGCCCAATTTTAGATGGAGTGGCTCTAGCAGCATTCTGTATCAACAAGGGGTTCATACGACACATCCCTTTCACCAGGATTGAACTTTTTTCTCAAAAGCCACTCTTTGACTACACAATGGTCTTTCCTTGCCCTACTATCCCAGTGACACAAGAAACAGCAATGTTTTGTGTAACCAGTCTGAATTCCTAGGCGCCATTCTTCCGAATTGTGAATCTTCCTAAATTGTGGAAGCAGACCATTTAAATATAACAGTACAGTATGTCATTACAATACATAGTGTTTGGTTGTAACTGGTTCTTTTCTTGAACACGAGACCTAAGTAATTCCGCTTGTATCTTTGAAGATTTAGATACCTTACAAAATCGTTCAGTTCTGCCTGCGACAATGGCTGTAGTTTCTTTCGTGCTGCAGATGGCGTGAAATCAAGATCTTCGTGATCTGTTGGTTAGTAGCCACCATTGTCTTAGATTTTAGATTTAGATTTATTCAGTCAAAATAAATGAATAAATAAAAAAACAGTAAAAACTGTATGTGACGTAGGGGGGAAAAGATTATCTGCGCACGTTTTCTTGAGTTGCAGAATCCCTTATTTTCAATCCCCGTCATTTTAATTATAAAAAGTTGAAAGTGAGTACACGTGGTAAAAGTTTAACTTAAATAAATGTTAAAAATCGTAAGATTGTCTTTTCATCTTTCCAGTCATTGGTGGTTTTGGAATTGGCAGAGAATTCGAAGTCGGAACTGGGCGCAGATTGCAGATTCCAAGGTGGAACAAGAAACTGTGTGTTTTGATTTACTTGAGATTCCTCTTACTTTCGTTAAACAAAAAAGTAGCAATCTGTAAGGTGGTGTCTAGGTTCCCTCCACTACTGTGGTATGGCAAATGGCATAGGTAGATGCAGTCATGCAACGGGCCTCTTAAATAGATGGAGCAACATGAGCAACGGTTCTGTGGTGCTCAACATTTAGCCTCATATAAAGAGCGACTTTTATAAGAGCGGGACGTTTTGTCAGCTAAGGCTGGCAACACAACTGAAGGTTCTGCGGCCCTTGTGTCCTTGAGTCTATTAGACTCTCCTTCCTCCAATCGTTTGTTTGCAGTTGGCTAACTTGTAAATGGCTTCGACGCTTCCTTTTGTGATATCCTCGTCCGACTACAATATACTTCCGCGTGAGAAATAATTGAAATCAGGAAGTAACAGTGCTACTGTGCTCTTTTCTAAAAATTATTATTAATAAATATTACGTTGACTTTACTTTTTGTGTGATAAGTATTATGTTTGTTTTAAAATCGAGTCTTGAATGTGAGATGCGTACTGGTGACGATGCACGTGTTTGCGACTTCTGCGTTGTACGGTGGCGACCTCTGTTCGCGAGCGTTTCGTGGTCCCGAGTTTTGCTTTTTATATTTATTTCTTATATATTTATGACACGATTGTGAAAACTAAACGAAACTCTTAGACTTCTGTACAGTGATGTCTTCGGGGGAGACGTAAACAAACACTACGAAGGGGCGTAATCTGTCGCGGCGGAGGAATACTTTCCTGAATTACACGCGATGTTCACTTGTTTCGCGAACTGTCACTTTGGCCCATTCGCATAAAAATCGCCCTATACCTTTGTTTCAAAATATACTCGTACGCCTATTTGATGATCGGATAAGGGAGATGTCTTTGAGACTTAGTCGTAAACTCGCCGCACACATGACGAAAATATTTGGTGAATGAACACGCTTCCTAGACATCACTGATTTTAGGAAACACAATAACACGCACAAACAATAGTCTTCACGTAAGCGGTTTAGACACTTAAAGAATAGATACTGTGTGATCTCACTATCGATTGACTGATGCTGCAACTTTTCTTTACTTTCCCGAAGTGGATATCTCCCCCTCTCCTCTGCACTCCCATCACTATGCAATAATATCGCTAAAACAAAACAATGTGACACACGCCGCAACGACATAAATAGCAGTGCTACGAGCGCATATAAAATTGCGTTTCCAGAAGAAAGTTTAGGTCATAGCAAATAATGGTTTTCACCACTGTCGTCAGAGCACTCAACTACATAACAATCACAAATGTTTGTACTGCGACCAATTTCATTGTCATGCTGTGTAACACATCACAATGTTATAACCAGATAAACATAATACATAATTTTATCTAATCTAACAGTTATCTGAATTCACACATTAAATTCATTAAAGGCCGAATGTCCAAAGTAACAACCCTACAAAGAAACTATTCTTCCACGAGGAATAAAATACCTTTTTTTCATAAATAAAATATCAAAGTTATCTACATGCCTAATGTCACAAAACAAAAGAAAAAATAAATGTTATTTACCTAGACTTAATGTCAACACAAATGTTTTCGACTTATTCACACATCAGACAAGTACCAGATCTGCAAACACCTATATCACGTTTATGAGACGCATTATATTTGTATTGGATTAAGTATCTATTAATTATAGGCAGTCAATTTCAAATTAATGTTTTATTGCTTGCCACAAGGTTCCACAGATGGATTTGTCTGCTTCTTTAGGAGCATCACTTATCTTACCCATTGAGACTTTTTAGACTTATCTTACTCATTGAGAATTTTTAATTTTTATTAATTTTCATTATTCCATCACATACTGTGGTCAAGATATTGGCATTCCACATTGGAATTTATTGATTGGTTAATTTTTATAAATAATGATTCTGAAATTATTCTTGCTCTTTTTCTACTTTCTCAATCAAGAATTTTAGGATTTTTAAAATCAAAATTATGTGATTTTTCTGTTCTATGCTTGGAAATAAAATTCAATTTCTCAACATAGAACAGAAAGATCACCTAAAATACTTGTGAGCTGAAATATTAAGGCATATAAAAAGAAGGAATAGATTGACAATCAATAAAAATTTAATGACTTATCTGAAAACTTCATATATGAAAATAATTTTCAAATATAAGAAATTGTAAACTGTTACAATAATATAAGGCATTTACAGAAGCAAATTCTTAATATTCTTATCTATTACAAATATTTACAAAGCTTCAACCATAGTTTTCATTGATTCATCAATTTGGAATTTTTATGAAGTTTTAAATTCCTAATCTTTTGAGACATGGAAAGCATTCTTAAATCTTAGAAAAAATCCAGTAACTGTTAAAAACCTAAAGGAAAATTAATACAAAGCAGAACCAGAGAAAAAAAAGGAGGGAAATTTGCTTCAAAAACAACAGAGAGGGGAATAATTCTGGATACTTCCATTCAAGTTATAGATATTTTAGCATTTTAAAAATGAATGTTAACAAAATAATGAGATATAGTTAATTCTGGTAAGTCAAGGCAAAGACTACTTTAATTTTTAAAGTTAATAATAATTCTAACAAAGTTCAGTTACACAATTTTGTTTTTCCTAGAAAAGCAATTAAATATATAAATCACATACAGATGTGGCCATATTATTATAGTAAGACATAGACTAAGCACAAATCACTCAACGCTCCTCAAGGAGTTTGGAGATGCATTGCATCTATGTAGACGCAACAAATTAAAAAAAAAAAAAAAAAAAGAAATTGTTTGTGATAAACAACAAACAGAAATTTCCAGCAATTGTGTTACTAACGCTTCTATAAATCTGTTACTCACATTGGAATTTCACAACAGTCCTCTTCCATGTCAATCTGTTCTTCTTTCACCTGCAGATAAACGAGGAATGAAATTGTTATATTTTGTTCATTATCACACAACACAGCACAGGATTATGATCACAATCACAACACAAGTCGTGTACGACAGACCGAAGTATGCATTTCCACCTATAAAACCTAACATTAAAATTGGAATTCAGCCCAGCATAACAATAGCATTAACATAAGAGCATAATACCTAATTCAAATCAATTTTTAAGTGAATGAGGAAGTAAACTAATAACATTTTAATACATCATTAAGCCTGGACCAAGTCCAGCTTCTCTGCCCACTGACAGTATTTTGGAAAATCAAACATGAAACAAAATAAATCAAGGGACCACATTAATGTAACAAATAAAGTAAATATTTTTTTTTAATATACGAATTGAATATACCTTTTAGAAACAATTGCGGAGTTTGTTGTACAGTATGATGTCACTTTTTCGGAACACGTATTTTCAACATGAGGAACGTCAAGATTTCTTAATTGTCTAGTATCATGGTTATATATCTGCGTTGAAAGAAACTGAATTTTTTTGTTCTTTGAGAACATTACTTCAAATTATTACATGCCTTCCCTGAACACATCTGAACACCCTGAACACTTTGGTTTAGAATTAATATTATCCATTATGTTCACTTGAACAACCTAGTCTATGTATTAATATATTAAGTAATCGAAAACTTTTTACCTCCTCTAATTTAATAATATTTGCAGCTAAAATATTTGTATCGTCCATCATTATCAAACGTTTGTTTTAAACCTTTGGTTTGTACTAACGGTTAACGAAGTAAACGGAAGTAAATGTATTTCATCTTGCCTCAGTGCTGCCCTCACATGTTTGTTCACAAAATTATATTAGTACCAGGGTGGAAATAACAATTATTTACACCATGATCCAAAGAGTATATAGATGATCAGATGATCCAAAGAGTATACAGATGAGTATATAGATGATTAGTACGTGATGGTGCATAGGATTTATTTAACCATGCATGTGAAGTAAATCAGCTGTTGACGCTTTATCCAATCGGAAGCTTACATGTCGCTACAGTGACGTTAAAATAGGAAAGTTCAAGATTCCGATTGGATAAAACCGTGAAATTGATTTACTTCTAATGCATGGTTAAATAAATCTTAGTGTAGTACGAAGTTGCTAAGATTTTGCATCATTGTGGGAACCAACAAGATCATGATGTAAGACATATTGACGAAAAATGATATAGATCTTTGCACCATGAAGACTCTATGGAGGAGTTCAGATAGGAACCATGGCGCTACCAAACGTCAACTAAGTAAGAACTTTCAATATTCTGGGCGGGCTTTTGAATGTAGTTCAAAGTGAAGTAAAATTAATTTTAGGGGGTCGTCCATATACTTAGGAAAATTAAATATCACTCAGGGGAAAGGTAATTTGAGGCAACGTTAGCGAACGCGGGTTGACAGATTGTCGGCTGAACGGTTTAGCAGCTGACGGTGTTCACAGATGAACAGACGTTTTGCCGTCAATCGATTTTTCGGTATCAATGGTACGCAAAACATGGGTTCTGTCTAATACACCACGTGTTAGAGGATTTCTTTTCTAAATGTATCAACTGGATTTAACCACTTTTTCGTTACTCCCTGTAATAATAGTTATGATTACCACACATTATATTGGGAAATTTGGAAGCCATGTTTCTTTGGAAAATGTAATCAGATTAATAATAAGATTTCGTACAATAGCTTTTTCTGTCATATGACAGTAAATTGTTAATAAAAGAAGTTTGTGGGGTGAAACTGATATACAACATTTTTGTTGTTGTTTCTTCAGATACACCTTGCCACTATGTAAACATTTTGTGATATCATGGCAGTACATTTAGAAGTTATGTAAATAAGTAATGTAACACTACCTTGGATGAAATAAATTAAAAAAAAAAAAAACAATATCTACACATTCAGCAACTGAGAAGAAAGATTTAACCAGTAACTTGTTAAAGCAATGGAGAAATGCATGACAAGAAATTCTGCAACTATTCTCCTAAGAGTAAGGGTTGTACAACATTTTGTATTTTACCAGTTGAAAAACTATATGTACTATTTTCACCCCACATGACAGGATGAAAATGGGACACAAAAACAGATATCTTTACATTACATTACATTACAAACATAGTGATAATTGTTTTATCTCTGATACAGAGAATGAAAGAAAAAGTTAAATATGGCAAATTGGTGTTATTTGTTCCTTCTAAGATGCATATTTTACAAATTATTTACAAATCAATAAAATTTTGTCTCATTTTCACCTGTTTGATGGTATCTTTGTCAAACTGAAAACTGAAGTTGGAATAAAGCTATGCAAAACTAAAAAAAAGAAAAGGTTTCTATGGAAAACTGTTCTCATTTTATTGCAAACAAATATTTTTTCTTTCTTTTTACAAAATCTGCATTTTTTCAAAGTGGATTGCAGCTGCTTTTAAGCTGATGTGGCAGATCTTGACATTATTCGATCAAATTGAAACTGTGAAACTCATTTTTATACGAATTGGCCACATTTTAGAATTTCCTATCAAAGAAAATGGAGAAGTTAATGTTTTGCAACCACCCAAATATTGAATCTCCAGTAATTTTATGAACTTCATATGAAGATAATTTTAAAAACAAAATTTTATGGTCAATGACCAAAAATTTTATGGTTCCGATCCATTTATGAATAAACATCTTTATGAAAAAAATTGTGTTTTCCATAGATTCCGATTTTGTTAATTCATGATGAGTGTCTGAAATGTTTTGCATTTTTTCTGTAAAAAGTTTCCATTCTTATATATGTAAAATTGTTATCTAATATTTTTTTTATAAAACTGACCATATCAATTGCCCAATAATTTTGAATTTCACTTTCTTAAAAAAAAAAACAACTTATTTTTGCTATTTTGAAAATATTTGGAAATTTTGAGACTGAATTATTTAACAGTATTGAATATGCGAGTTAAAATGTGTACAAAGGCACACAGGTTTTAAGTCCAATGGAATTATAAAAGAGGTGTGTGTTAAATTCAACAAATTCCTTTTGTTTTCTTTTAAATGCTCCTCACCCACTGGTACCGCTCATCTTTTCCTTGATTCCCTGTATTGAGTCCAGCTACTAGGAATTTATTATTGATGAGCGGCAGGCCTGTCTGAAAATCGCTGCAATAGGAGAGCTTTTATTTTGACACTCAAGTGCACAGGTACCCAGAGAACCAGAAGTATAATGTTCAGGCCCAGGCACAAAATATTAATTACTTGATACTTTGCGGTAGTTGATACAGTCAAAGATTAAAGCAGCGACTTCCATAAGAATCATATTTTTCCACTTCAGTAGCTTATGTAACCCTGTTTCTAAATCAATAATTTTAAGCCATCCATTTAGGTTTTGATGTCTTAATTTCATAAAATAAAATAATAAAGGAAGATTTTTCACTATTAGTTATAAGTGCTTTACTATTGTTAACAATAAACATGACACACAAACTGTCTTTTAATTGTTGTTGTTTAGGTTTCAAGCTTGCCATCATGTGTGATAGACTGATGAATACAAATTTGTTATTGAATATTTTTATTATTCAAGATACTGACACTACTTGTGTTTACTGTACACTTTCATAAAGAGGGCCCCACTGGACCTGCACTCATTTCGTTACGCTACTGCAGAGAACAAAAGAGGCCTTGGGGCCCCTTATTTCAAACAAGAGCCCCTCCCCTCAACACAAACGGAATTCATCTTCCGAAGCAACGAAAAGATAGATATTTACCATGGTCAGGTTTGGGCAAAATAATGCAGATTGAATCAGAATGATAAGCAAGAAGGATTCAAAGCATGACTCAAATTACTTTCCATTTTACTCTAACGTTAGCCGTTACATATTTTTGACCATATATAAGTTATTTATTTTATATGTTTATTTATACAACAGGCTTATTTGCCCAAATGAAATTATAGACTACACATAGTTGAGATATATACTAATCAATATGAAAATTGACAAAACAAAAATGAAAATTAACAAAACCAAACTAAATGCACTTAATAATGTTACAACACAAGTGATATATAATTTTAATTAGCTAAAATTTAAATTGAATTTGAACTGCAGAATGCATTTATTGCAATGCAAGAATGGTTAAAGGTAAATAAATTAATAATGCTATGTTGAAAAGACTAAATTTATGATTTTACATAGTGGAGGAAACATACTAGTAAGGGAAACTATATTATTCACAATTCACTTAGAGGAAATTTAACAGGTATGCAAAATTAAATATTTGGGAGTAATTATCAATAGAAAATTAAATTTAAAGACTATGTAGAGTATGTAGTAAAGAAACTTGTAAAAAAGATTAATATTTAAAACAGTATTGGCCAATATATAAATCCATAATTGCACCACATTTTGATGACTTTGCAAGAATACTAATTGGAGCCCAAAAAACTGAAATTAAAAAACTTCAGCTACTAAAATATACAAAAGGCTTAAATTGGTAAGGAAGTCCAAGAAAAAGTTAGAAACGAATTAATCAAGCTTTAATACTTTGAATACTCATTGGTTCAGGTATCAACGTGAATGCTTGTTTTTATGTAAACATTTTACTGCTAAGTTTATGGATTATGTTATGACTTAGTTTACATTGTGCCTGAGGCCTAATCGGGCATCTACCCTTTATCGGCAACTGATCTTCAGAATGGGTATGCAATGCTTTTGGAATGTTGTAAACGCATAAATGCTAAAATGCTTTGGAACATGAAATCATTACTACCATTTCAAATACATTAAAGGGAAATGGAATGCCCTATCCTGGCAATGTTAAATGTTTTAGTCTGGATCTCAGAATGTATTGACGTTAGGCTTAAGAAATTTTTACATGTTGCAGATGTCACTCATAATAACACTGAAACAATGGTTTTGGAAAATGTTTTCTAATTTTGTAGATACAAATTTTTTTTCATAATGCATTTTAACCATGTTTTCTAGTAAATAAATTTCTGTAGAATGGATAATAATAGGGAACTTAGCAAAAAATTGTTTCACTAAATGTAGGAGACCTCTATTAACACCGTAAATATTTCAGTTTCCAACTACAAATGTAAGCTGAGAAAAGGACAATTGAGTATCAAAAATTTCAAATTTCAGGAAACAGGCTTTAATGATACAACCCTCAGAACACGCCAGCTCGACAACAGGCCACATCAGAATAATCATTTCTCAAAAACGTCTTTTTTTTGACTACTTTCTTTACATTGATTAGCTTCACAACGTGAGGTGTTCAATTTACTTTCTGCATGTGTAAGTCTTTCATTATTTGTGCACTGTGTTAAGTAACAATATCAAAAAGTACTGGAGCCAGCAACTAAGCCCTATGAAAGAACTTCACATATAAATAATGATTTTAAAAAAACACTGTAAGAATGATAATATACTTCAAACACCAATCAAAAGAGAAAATTATGGAGATTTATGAAAAATAAAATACCAAACAATAATTTTTAGTAAACAAAATCATTTCATTTCTCCTTAATAAATATGAGAAACATAATTTTGGTATTGTTAAATGTCCATGAACATAGTCTTTTCTTGTGTGTATTTCACATTTTCCACCTGTGCTCATATTCTCACAAACAAAATTGTAGAACCGACTATTTCTATAATTCTGCTACACCACGTTTAGCCAGAATCATCAATACATATATGAATGAAATTGATTTGACTTGAAATACAACGTCAATAGCTAAAATGATCAAACAACTCATATTAGATTTCAGAGGATAGATATGCAACAATTGACAATACTTATTTTATGACAAACAAATATTTTGTAATCTTCAAGAGCGTATAAACCTATGTATATATGAAATGTATTTAGGCATTATATGCCTGTTGGATAATAATAATAAAAAAAAAAAAATAAATTAAAAAAATAGTTGCCATGACTCATTCCTCAACCCTCATATTCTGTAAAATGGAAATGAATTTATTGAAATAAATAATTACTTTAATATGGATGAGGAAACCGTCCTTTATATCGACACTGGTGGCATGCCAAGGCTTGCTGTTTGGTACTTTAACCGGAACTACTTTAAAAAGCAGTGGAAAATTGTAAAGCACAGCTGCATCGCAGTCTGTAGAAAGTGGAATCAAAAAAGTATTTATAAGAAACATCTAAAATTGAAGATCAGTTAATGTGAACAGCCAATTAGTTAAGTTTTTACCCATGTTCGTTGCCGGTACATTTGCCTGGTGTAGAAGCATTTTCACTTTGGAGGAAAACGACTCCCATTTGTTGTTAAAGTTACCACGTGCTTCTGCGAACAGCGCATCAAAATCATACTCGAGGAGGATAACTCTTAATGTGGTCAGAATCCTTCAACTCCCTACTCTTGAGATCCCTCAATTTGGTTTGTCGGACAAACACAGTTTCCATCCAACAGCTCTTCACAGCTTCCCAGGGACAAATATGCGTGGACAAGAACTTCAGCTTTTTTTTAAGCGAAGCATCTGTTGAAACATAAGCATTATGATTTCTAGTCACAATAATAAGTAGAGGGCGGATTTTGATGACCTAAAACATCACCAAACATGTTCAACAAAATGCTCTTAAAATGTTTTAAAAATGCTCTAAAAGCAAAGAAAAACGATGTGTTACTGATGGCTTCATTCTTTCATTCAAGTGAATTCAGCTTGCAAACTTTTGGTTTGAACTGTTGTTTTACAAGGAAATCTTGGTCTTTATTTATGGCCAAACTGGCAATAGCACTGATAGGTCTTAAAGGAACCTTAGATTACAAGGCTGACTTTACAATACATGAGCAAAGAAATCAAATAGGCTCCTCAGAAATTCTGTGGACAATGTTGCCCCTCTTGTAAATATTATTTGAATTATCATTAAAATTTTTAAATATTATTATTATTTTTTATTATCATTAAAATGATATCAAAAATAATAAAATCAGCAAAAAATGCATTAAAAATAATGAGAAAAGATACAAATATGACTTACTAATCAAAACCGATTAAAAATGCAAAAAAAGTCATATAGAAAGGGGTCATTTCCTTACGTCATACTACAAAAATAATATCTATACTAAAAGACATCATTCTTAAGTGAAAAGAAAAGCCACCCTCCAATAATAAGTATGCTTAGAAGATTGCTTTAAACAAGTGCATACCTGCGGTCACTTTCTTGTAGCATGGGCGTACACAGTTTACTTTTGTAGAAACCACATTTGTGGATGCGATTTGATTTGTTCGCTTCCCTGCCCTTTGCAGCTTTCGGTTTATATTTACATATGCGTCGTAGAGCTTCCCGGCTGCATTGTGACTGTGCCTCCGTTCGCATGTAGCAATGAAGTAATCTGACTGATAATGATAAACAGTTATGAAGAAATAATGGAAGTAATTTCCATCAACTTAATTTATTTATTTAGAGAGCTGGCTTTGCTATCATCATAAATCTCACTGTGTGTGACAAACGTCGGGAGACATTGAAAGCCGGCTCTCTAAATAAATCAATGGAGTTGATGACTAGCATTATTTCTTCATGTCAACAATACATCAGCATTCCCTCAATGAATGGTTACCCATTTCACCACTAACCTCTAATTCTCCTGGGAGGGCCTTCACAATACTTTGCGCCAACTCCATAAACCTTCTAGCGCGAATTCTGCAATGACATGTTCAATTTTAGAACTATCTAATAATAGTCTAATAGTAAGAATAAGTCTAATTTTAGAACAGTCTAATAATCCAATTAGAAGAAGCCATATTGTTATTGTATTTGAAGAAGCCAAATTTCTTATTAATCTTAACTCCAAAATTAAATCTTTTGAATAAAAACCAGATAAAAAAGGCATACCACATAAAGCAAAATTTGAAATTAAAAAACAAACAGAAGTTAAAGGCATCTGATTCACAATTACACCTATTCCACAAATATCTTGAAGATCATTTATTCCATGAATAATAATACCCGCGCATATAAATAATAAAGCCTTAAATAATGCATGAGTTAACAAATGAAAAAATGCAAGGCTTCAAAAAAAATATTTCTCACTGGGTGTTGCAGTTCGCTCCATATTCTCTCCAAACAAGCATTCGGGCAAGTGTGCAGCGGTCACTGTAGTCCAGGAGCCCCTTTGCATGCAACCCAATGATTCCTAAACCTTGCGCACTTTGGTTCAAAAAATTCAGCAATTCCTTAAAAAGAGTACACACCTTATTAAGTATATTCTTATAATGTAAAATCAGAAATCATAAACTGCAATGAAGTTGTAAATATAATTACATTGGCATGTTCATCACTTGCACTTGCAGTCACTTGAACAATCGGCACTTGACATAAATCTTTACCAGTTATATCACTGGTATCCCATACTATCTCTGCATCTACCAGAAAACCTTGATTTATCAAAGCAGCATTTAAATGCTTTCGTTTGGGACTGACTAGTGCTTCATGAGAGTTGCTGGGAAATGGCAACTGGTCTTCAACAGACTCCTATAGTAAAATAAAGAGTTATTAAATGCTGTCCAATTGGTTGGAACATGCAATGAATAAGCTTAAGGGTGTCCCACCAACTGTGGTCCAATCTCCTAACTTCTAAAGTTTAGATCTAAACAGTTCACTCCATTGAAATGGAGTTTATGCTCAACAATGGGGAATCATGGGTCAAGAAATATGGAGTAAAGATATCGCTTGAAATATTTTTAGTTTTTGACAAATTTAACCATCTTTGATTGTTTTAAATGGAACTGTATATTTTTCCCATTAGCAATAGCTAGGAATGCCAGGATGTAACACATGTTAATGTTTTGATAGTATTTTGACTACAAAATTATAGTGGAATAGCTCAGCAGTATAGCTCTGAAGAAGGCCAGAGCAAGATGGCTGAAACGACAGTCCAAGTAACTGAGACGCGGCGCATCCCGGATAGCCAAGAATACATTGACTCCGGCCACGGAAGCCTTCGAACCCATACCAAATTATACTTTCTGACATGACATTTTAATATGCAATATTTCTGAAGCAGCTCTTGCTACTGTTGTCTTTGGGGTAGGTGGCCTTCGCGGTGACACAGCACTTTTGCAAGAAGAGGAGGGGCCAGGCCACAAAGGTCACTTTCCCCAAAAGTGACAGTTACGAGGGTTGCTAAGGAAATATGTTTAAGTTAAAATCACATATCGGAAAGTATAATTTTATAGTTAAAATACTATCAAAACATTAACAAATGTTATATCATTCCTCTTTTTATGATCTTACTGTTGCCACTGAGAATAATACATGGTTCCATTTACAATATCAAAGACGATTAAATTCCTCAAAAACTAGAAATGTTACAAACAATATCTCTACACTATATTGCTTGCACCATGATTCCCCATTGTTGGATGAAAACTGCATTTCTAAATCGTAAACCTTTTAAAATTTATAAGGTGGGTGTAAACCTTTTAAAATTTAGTTGGTGGGCCTCCTTGTATAGTCAACTAATAAAGTTAGTCCCTATAGGTTCACTGGAAATGGAGTAGATTGTAATCATAATGAATAAAAAATCATCCAGACGATAATTGCAACACAAAAAGAATTCTTTCCTGTAGTCCCAATTTTAAAATATTATAACATTTTCCAAGTCACATTCATTAATATACAAAGTTTTCTTGTTTGTGAAAAATACCCAACCAACAATGACACACAACAAATCACTGAAACCTCTAAGAAATGGTTCTGGATTACAAAGTTTCACAAGCACTAAATTCTTCAATATTGTATTTTCACTAGGCTTAAGTGCCCCACAATAATCTCTAGAGTCCAGAAGTTCAGGCATGTATTTTACCTAAAATAGTCAGGCAAAAAGGCATTTATGTTTATTCAAATAAGCATGAAAGGCACTTATTCTAGCCAAAGCCAGGGTGAAAAAAATGCAAAATAATAAACAATCATTTAAAAGGAATTATTGTAAAAAAAAATAACTAAAATGATTCACATTTTATTTTAACTCAAAAATTTACAATTTGACTTAATGTAACAAAATAATATTTTCCTAGTGATTTCATTTTCACAGGTTCCACAGTATGTTGGCTAGGAATTTGTTTTATTAGCGACACTCTCCCTTCACAATGGAACGATGGACTACCTCTTGAACCTTGAAATGGCATCGGAGAAACAGAAATATATTTTTCATTCTTGGCACTAGTGTAATTAATGCACTGAAAATGGTGCATCATACTCAGCTAGATGTCATCAGGAGGGATCGGTGGTCATAATCAAAAGTAGGAAGGGATACCTCGTGAAAGAATAAAATCAGTCAACTTCAATGAAAAGAATCAAAAATCAATAAAAGGCAAAATGAAAATCTATTAAAATAATTTCAGAAGTACAATAAAGTGATTCCTATTGTCAAAAGTTATGAAATAGTAATAATAACAAAAAAAGGCATTTTGCCAAACTTCTGGACTCTAGTAATCACAATATGGAATTGGATCATATAGACCTTACATAAATAATAATAATAATAATAATAATAATAATAATAATAATAATTATTATTATTATTATTATGATCATCATCATCGTAGCTTTTTACATTTATTCTCCGTTTATCATCGCAAGGTATTACAGATCAGAACTAACCTCAGTAGTGAAACAGGAATGAAACAAATTAAGTTATAACTCAAAAAACATTAATATCTTATTATCAATATTTTATTGAAATTTAATCACACATTTTAAATACTTGGGAGTTTAACCCGGGAGAGCCAGCAATAGGTAGACTCACGCCAATGCTCGCAATGTATCTCTCGGATATAGCTGCGACTTTTTGTGAATGCCAATGATCTGAAGCTCTATTTACTGAAATATGTATTTTATTTAGTTTGTACATCTCCCCAGTGCAATTGTTATCCTACACTGCAAAAACCTTGTCTGAATACTTATGGTGACATAAGTAAAAATTGACAAAACACACGCAAAAATCATTAAACATCTTATTAAATAATATTAAATGCAATTTCCACAAATGATTTTGACATGTTCTAAACAAATGTGTGTTTTACATTTGTCACAAAAATATATAGAAAGTTTGTCTTTTTTCCAATTTGTATTCATTCACAGACCTCTCCAGCACGTCTTTCTCTTTAGGAAAACATTGTGACACTCAATCCTAAATAAGACAAATGCCTACATTCTCTGTATAGGTACTTGTCACAGAGACAACTGAAAACAATGCCATGATGCATACCCCATAAGCAAGGAGCTCACAATGCACGCAACATAACTGACAGATACTGAGCAGCACAGTGATCAATCTTTAACATGTTCACGGTAAATGATTCAGCGAAAGAAGAAAACGGCGAGGCATTCTCAGAAAAGTAAAGTACAATGAAATAATACATGAAATATCAGACAACAAATGCATCGGAATAATTCAAGAACATAAAATTGTTATGGCTCGGGCCTCACAAATCTCCTGCGGGCAGTCCCAGGTTACTATATCAATTGAGGGGAAAATGTTAATACCAGCCCATTCCCCTCCTCATGATCCTCTTCAAGGAGTATGGCTCCCAACTTTCCTGCAAATTACAACAGATTATTACCACTTTACAGTTGCTGCATTTTAAATTGGCAAAAAATAAATAAATAAATTATCAAGATTTAAAAACTGAACTAAAAACAAGTACTCAAATAGTCAATGTATTCTGAACTCTAAATTAAAGTATTTTTGCAGCTAATATGTCAAAAGCTAACTTGAAGTCTGAAATTACAAATCTACTACCAATAAGTACTCAAGTATTATAAATATACACATATTAATGGATTAAAATAGAAGAAAGTTCTTAAATTGAAGTGATAAAACAAACTACAAGTTCGATTAACAACAAACAAAAATCATAAAACAGATTATCGCTTATCTTACTTAAACCTTTCTCAGAGAATCATTGACATTTTGAATAATTTCTAGTCCTAGTGACTTCTGAAATTAAACAGGTTTGAAGAAAAGCTTGCAACGGTATAATTTTCATGAAATCTATCAGAGATGTTCTTTTTCTAAATAATGTGAATTATTTGAGATTTAAATATTACAATACCATTACATTACTAACCCAAGCAACTGCAACAAAAATACACATTAACTGAGTAAGCCTTAAGGATTCTGGAGGAAAGGATTCAAGAAAACTTTTGTGGAATCCACATAGGGTTCAAGGCAACTTGAATTGTTTACTTTTGCCATTTTTTTAATAACATATTAAAAAGGTGAAGTAATTCCCGTTTCTAAATGCACAAAAAACTGTCATCTTTCATTGACTTTGTCATCTTACACAAATTCCCTTCAATAAAAAAGTTTCGATTAAGATACAAATATATCTACATATACACATATTCAAACAACTCACTGTGGAATTAGAGGCTTTCTCTTCAGCTTCATCGTCGGGTACCTGCTTTACATGATAAGAGATATTTTCAGAAGACTTATAGTACACACACTACAAGTCCGAAACACAATCGACAACACATGTTCTGTACAATGCTTTACCCTCATTACAAACAAGACTCATAACATCAAAAGTATTCATTAACATTGACGGCATATTAAAACCAATTCTAACACTAAAATCTGAAGAAAGAAAAAAAATTGTTCACGTACAACAGTAATTTTTTAATAATACCTAATAGAACCAATTTAAATTTCTAAATGACATATAAGTTATGTTTCTTTACAAAATATCAACTCCAAGGCAATTATAATAATAAAACTTACGCTTTCTATTTTAACAATGCACTCGGACAATATTTCTGGTTGGTCCATGTTATTCCGAAATATTGTACAGAAACACGTTTCTGACAGAATAAAAATACATATTTAGATATTTATACTCGCCGCCAAATCGCGACGGCAATGTACTAAAATGATAGTAAGGTTAGCAAGGCAGTGCAGGGCTACCGAACTACGTGTTAATTCTCGCGACTAGCGTTAGTGCTGCGCTCGAACGAGCGGAATCACAAGTAAACTAAGTGGTGGTGGGGGACCGTACCATGGTGGGGGTACTATTTCCACCAATTAGATGCACAATATTTTTTTTGGACATTCCTTTTAGCGTAATTTACAATTAATTCTAGATTCAGTGGGAAATGTAGGATATACTGGCATAGAAGTGACTCAGGATAACAAACAACTCAATAATGAAATGAAATGACAGATTTACTAAAATTAAATCGAAAAAACAATGGTAAATTTTCTAGAAGAGATATACAAATTCTCCAAGTAATACAATTTGATAAATATCGATTTTGGAAATAACAGCAAAACATCATAAATTCACAACAATCGTGTAGTTACTTCAATAAATCAACATAATATCTATTATGAAAATACTTGATCTCAAAGTACCTCTGGAGAGAAATCTCTTTCATCAATCAATATTGAAGTGATTACAAATCCACTTGCTATTACAAACTACTGAGGGGAATGAAAACTGCTTCATATCAAAAATACTATAAAATCATACATACTCTCTGTATAGTATTGATATTCCAACTATGTTTAACTGTATTGAGCTTCGAAGCATTGCAAAGATATTACTTATGAAATTGCAATAAAATAACTAGTTGAACATGACAATATTGATTTCCAAAAATTAATAATATATCATTTATTTACTATCATCCGACAAACTTTGATACAAACTTTGAACTGATGATATTACAAGCAAGCAAAAAGGCAGCTCTCTACTTCACTGCTTAGCAATAGCAATGAATGTTTCATATTAAGCCATGGTTTCAATACTATCTTTGAAATTCTTCTTTAATAAGAGTGCTTCACAAAAAATATTAATGGAAAAACAATGTTAAACAAACAATTCTTTAAAAGAATTAAAAGTTTAATACACTGTACAAATTTGAAAAATGAATAATCTTTTCACATGCACCATTATTTTTAGAATGTCAGAAGCTTGGTTGTATTACACAAAGTGCAATAGATTAATATCTAAAACGATAAGAGTTTGGAATGAAAGTACCTTTTTAGTTTCGTACATTAGTCTATTCTTCCTTTTCACATATATTTTCCAAATTATTTTACACAAAATTATCTTATTAATTTATTTGATAATTTAAATGTATAAGATTGAATGATTGTTGCACTAATAATTTCCAATTTTCATTGTTTATTGAATTGGAGTCCAAGAAACTAATAATGACATTTAAGTAAATTTTGAAAACATTTTTTATACTACTGTGTTCTTCTCTTCATTATTCCATTCCATTTCCTAGCAAATCTCAAAGAGAATGCCAAGTTGTAATTTGATTCCAGACAGTAAGTGGAGCTGAAGTAATTGTGCTTATCATTGAATGCAATTTATACAATATATTAATAAATTATAATTAAATGGCAGCAGTAATTAAATTATTAACAAAAGTTAATATTGAGTTATCACTGCAAGTGATAAGCCTCTCATTGTTTTGCATCCTACAAAAGGATGAAATATAACATCCATTTTATGTGCAGTGTTTTAAAGTGCAACTACCACTAGAATGCAACCTTATATCCAGGGCTTGTGCTATCACTTCTATATTGAAAAAATACGCAAAAGAACAAAACAAATGAAACTACCGCACCACACAAATTTTGAAACAACAATAATTGTATCAGAAGAGGGAAAATTGTCAAGTTAGTCAGCAAATACATTAAAAATTATCCTGGAGCCTTTAAAAATGTATTTCTCAATACAAGCATTCGCAACCAAGCAGACGCTTACGAGGGGTGAGATCCTTCACACGAGTTGCACCAATGGATTTAAGAATCCCACCACTTTGTAAGCGAGACTGAGAGCTTGGGGTTGATGGTTCTGTCTGAGGATCATGCACCAGCCATTTCCCAGATAGATTGTGACTTCAGGCGAGGGAGAAGTGACCCATTTCCCTGATATACTGGATGTTACAATCTCTTCCTCGCCTTCCGAGACAGGCACAGGCGGATCAGCAAGAGCTGTTGCACAATGAGAATAAAAATTAATTTTCATTTTAAAAAAATATACAAAACATATATCTCACTTCAAATAAGGTTACCTGATATTTGTGAGACTGATGTAATGGATTCCATTGCTGTAGCCAATCTTGCAGAATCTCCTATAAAATAAATCAACATTTTAATATTATCTCAGTGAAAGAATTCAAACCAAATGTTGATGTGGTTCAAAAGCACGAATATGATTTGCAGCGATTTGGAGTACATCCAAAAGACTACAATTTTTTTTCATTTCGTAACCTGTGATTATCTGTATTTTTAAAAGGTTAAATGAAAATATACTCACGTAAACACGGAACTGCACCACATCGCAGTCTCCTTTTTGGGGCAACAGCAATGAAATCCTCAACCCTGAAATGCGCACTGTGTATAGACCTGTCACGGATCCTTTCGCCATCTGGGATCCCTGCAAATTCTCCCCATTTTGGCGGGAGAAAGGGCCTTGTCTTTTCGGAAGGGAATCTGTGGAACGAGAAGGTTGTTTTGCCGACGTTTCGACCATTTTGTCGTGGTCTTCCTCACGGCTGGTATACCCATACATAAGATGGTATGGACATGGTAAGACCACGACAAGATGGTCGAAACGTCGGCAACAATCTT